GATTGAATCTCGGGCAAATAACATACCGATTGACAAAGGGAATTGTATACGGGGTTGCTTGAATCCTCGACATCGTGGTTCATCCAATGAGATCATCGAGGAGCATGTGGGAGCCAACATGGGTATCCAGATCCCGCTGTTGGTTATTGACCGGAGAGCAATGTCGGTCATGTCTACATGTCTCCCGAACCTGCAGGGTCTACACACTTAAGGTTCGGTGATGCTAGGGTTGTAGGGATATGAATATGCAGTAATCCGAAAGTTGTTTGGAGTCCCGGATGAGATCCCGGACGTCACGAGGAGTTCCGGAATGGTCCGGAGGTAAAGAATTGTATATAGGAAGTGCAGTTTCGGTCATCGGGAAAGTTTCGGGGGTCACCGGTATTGTACCGGGACCACCGGAAGGGTCCCGGGGGTCCACCGGGTGGGGCCACCCATCCCGGAGGGCCCCATGGGCTGAAGTGGGAGGGGAACCAGCCCTTAGTGGGCTGGTGCGCCCTCCTAGGCCCACCCCCTGCGTCTAGGGTTGGAACCCTAGGGTGGGGGGGGGGAGGGGCCCACTTGCCTTGGGGGGCACTCCACCCCCCTTGGCCGCCGCCCCCCTTGGAGATTGGATCTCCCAAGGGCTGGCGCCCCCCAGGGGGCCTATATAAAAGGGGGGAAGGGAGGGGGCAGCGGCACCCTTGCATCTTGGCGCCCCCTCTCCCCTGCTACACCTCTCCCTCTCGCGTAGACGCTCGGCGAAGCCCTGCTGCACGTGACAACTGCATCCACCACCACGTCGTCGTGCTGCTGGATCTTCATCAACCTCTCCTTCCCCCTTGCTGGATCAAGAAGGAGGAGACGTCATCCGCTCCGTACGTGTGTTGAACGCGGAGGTGCCGTCCGTTCGGCGCTTGGTCATCGGTGATTTGGATCACGGCGAGTACGACTCCATCATCCACGTTCTAGTGAACGCTTCCGCTCGCGATCTACAAAGGTATGTAGATGCATCCGATCACTCATTGCTAGATGAACTCATAGATGGATCTTGGTAAAATCGTAGGAAAATTTTTGTTTTCTGCATCGTTCACCAACAGCTCATTGGTTCTAGTGGCTATCTACTGAGTACACAACGCTGGAGGTCCTAGGTGCAATATCTAGTAGGGGCACATTTTTTTGGATTTTTAGTCCGCGCTTCTGTGCACACACACACTACTGGGACGACACTGGCGGACTCGCGAAACGTGTCTAGTTTTAGAGCGCAGACGACATATTTTTAACAAAAGATTATCCTACCCTTTATTATGAAAGGATATGAAGAGATCTCCTCCGTTGATGTGTTTAGGAGGGTTGATGCATACATAGACGTTCGAGGGGTTTGATTTGGCAACGCCTCGAGTGGCTGCGTGGGCAGTCTGTAAGGAGTGGCACGTCGGAGGAGAAGAAGGTGGCAATAGAAAAGCTACGTCAAGCTCTTCGGCAGGAGGAGATATGGATGCGATAGCGATCCCGAGTCTCTTGGCTGCGGGAGGGCGATAGAAACACATATTTTTCATGCTCAAGCAGCTCAGCGCAAATGAATGAACAAGATTGACAAATTTGAATGTGCTGATGGTACAAATTGTGATGCACCAGAAGAAGATGCAGTGGAGGTTCAAGCTTTCTATCAAGATTTGTATACCTCTCAGGGTTTTATGATATGAATGGGTTATTACATGCAGTTCCTACTCGGGTCACGGAGGCGATGAATCTGGAACTTGACAAGCCATCCACCGGCGAAGAAATTAGGTGAGCTCTGTTCCAGATGGCCCCTTCGAAGGGTCCGGGGGTGGGTGGATTTACAGCGGGCTTTTATCAGCGGGACTAGGACCTCTTGAAAGATGACATTGTGCCGGCTATTCTGGATTTTCTGAATGGCGGGGAGATGCCAAATGATACTTCTATCACTTTGATCCCAAAGGTGTGATTCCCACATTGTATCTCACAATATCGACCTATCTCACTTTGCCATGTGTTACATAAGATTGTTGCGAAAGCCATTGCAAACAAGGTTAGAGTGTGCTTGGATGATCTTACTGGTGAGGAAAAGAGTGCCTTCGTTCCCGGTCGCTTTTTATCACGGATAATGTGTTGATTGCTTATGAAAGTGTGCATGCGATGAAAAGAACAAAGAGAGGGAAAATTATGTTTGTGTGATCAAGCTTGATATGATGAAGGCATACAATAGGGTTGAGTGGAATTATTTGGAATCCGTCATGTTAACTTGGTTTCACCATGGCTTTTGTCTGGTTAGTGCTTAAATGTGTCACATCGGTCAGATTTTCCGTCAGGGTGAATGGTGATCTCCTACCATTTTTTACTCCGGCAAAGGGGTTTCGGCAAGGTGGTCTCATATCACCGTATTTATTTCTCTTATGTGCAGAGGGTTTTACATTGCTGCTGAAGTATCATGGTGGTGCACAGGTAGACAGAGGGTTTAGGGTGAGTACTCGCTCACCCTGGGTCAACCATCCACTCTTTGCGGACGATAGTCTCATTTTCTTTGGGGAAGAGGCTTTGCAGGATGCGTTGTCGGCCGAGAAGCTTTGCAGGCTAGAGCAGGTGATTATGTCCTGCTGGTCCATTGATGTTACTCCCAACATGTTGTTGTTGTTGTTGTCAAGTACTATTGCCTCAAGGGTTGGTTGGCCAACGAAGAAGCCGACAGGGAGTTCGAAGAAAGAGTTGAAGCTGAGATCGATGGTGCGAAGGTGTTGGTGAGGCGCCGGCAAGATTGGGAGGCTACCGGTGAGCCCGTTGAAGCTGAGGTCAAGGTTGGACAGGTACCTGAGCTTGTTTATATTGGAACTG